TCATCAATCTGAAATCAGTGTGGAGATCCACTCCACTCAGCATAAAGTGTGAACAACATCCGGATTCTCAACACTAATGTCAGTCAAGTCAGTGCTTCTATGTGATGGTTGAGAGAGTTGGTGCGTCACGAAAAGCATTTCCAACAAACTGCAGACATACATCAACACCTACCGCCTACGCTCACTCGCCCGATACTGAAGATCAGATCAGATCAGATTAGATGACCAGAATAATAAGAATAAGGAACAAGGAACTCTGGTTGGTTGGTTGGTTGGCTGGCAGGCAGGCATCGAACCAACCAACAACAACCCATCGTCCAACAAATATGCAGAAGAAAGTGGAGATCGATTGGATTGGATATGCACTGAGAAGACCGATTGGGGATGTCACACGCCAGGCCATCGAGTGGAAGCGAAATGGGAAACGAGGAGTTGGGCATCTGAGACGAGGGTGACATGGAGGAGATTGTGTGAGGAAGAAATGAAAGGTTATGAGCTGTTATGGAGCGAGGTTGAAAAGACTGCAGAGAATAGATTGAAATGGTGACGTGCTACTGAAGCCCTATGTCCCACTAGGAACTCTATGGACAAACAATAATAATACCTGAACTACAACCAAGCCACTAGTTAGTTAGAAATAAGACAAATCAGGTGAAGATTAAATTCGTTTATTACTGCTTTGAACTGACGATACACAGGGCATAAATTTGTGTGTATATAACAAGAGTGACTTTCGAGGACAAAATTTGGATTTCACAGACATGTGATTTTCGTAAATGTTTCTCGAACTTTTGTGGAATGTTTTAGTATTTCTCTACACGTCATCTGTTGAGTATTGCTTATTCTACTGTAGCTGAGGGTTAAGGCCCTTGATGGTTCTGCTTTTTCAAGGGATCAGTGACCTTGGCTGTAGCGACATTCCTGTTCTTGAAGATTATGCTTCATTTGATAGTTAAGTTTACGTTGCCAGGCGGAATGTTTGTTTAAAAGTAGTGGTCTAGTGGGTAGGTCCTTGTGGTTTTTATCGGTTTTGATTGTCTGATAGTCGATCAGTTTCAACCGGGAAGTTCATATTGATTAGGCTGACTACTATTAACTTCAACTACTAATACTCTACATCTAGTAAATATAGTCTTTTGCTGTACTCTTATTGTGACCAACATTGTAATTCGATATACACAATGGTTGGTCATTCATACTATACTTTCTTCCCTAACTGATTTACTCAATGTTTTCTGTTGGACACACAGATTTATGTAGAAAGTGTTTGCATATTCTGTAAAGTGGTTGGAAATACAACGTGATGTAAATGTTAATTTGTTATTCATGTTTAATCATGTTAATTTATACACTGTAAAACGCTTCATGAGTTTTTTTTCTTTTGGTCAGTTCTTCTAGTGTTGAACTGTTAAAGAAATGCAAAGTATTTAAAAATCGTTTTCACAAGGATAGTTAAAATTGCTCATTACACTCATATATCTCATATGTTTTCACGTTTTGCATTATTAAATGAACATTGGAATTAGATAGAAAAGTGAACTATTTTGTTGAGTTTTTTTCTAAGCAAGATAATTTATCATTTTAAATGTTTACATAGATTTCTGATACAATGTTAAACTACTGCAATAATGTCAATTAGAAATTCAGAGGATAGTACTAATAAATATGAACTGTAGATAACTAGAGTTATTTATTGTCTATGAATTGCATTTTAATATGTTACTTTCATGCATATAAAAATAGAATTTAGTAGATAGACTTCATGATCAAAATTTTAATTGACAGAATTGGATATTTCAAGTTGTTATTCATCGAAGACTGACATCAGTTGGAGGAACAAAGGAAACCTGGGAGCACTGGACAGCTGTTTCGTCCTAGTATGGGACTCCTCAGCAGTGCGCACCCACGACCCCACCAGCAGGGATCGAGCCCGCGACCTTCAGGTTCCGTGACCAGCGCGTTACCATTGAGCCACTGGGTCAGAATCCGATGCTCCATATTTGCAACTTCTGTTAGCTCACGATATAGCGCAAACTGCCACCCAATGTCATCGTTGAGTATTTGTCCTCACGGCCATCAGGCTTTGACTCCACCGGTCACTACTTGTCATTGGAACTTCGGGAATACTTCTCGAAGCTAGTCACCAACGAGCACTAGTTTAATTAAATTTTGAGGGGGTTGTGGAGATTTGGAAATATTTCAAGTTGTTATTCATCGAAGACTGACATCAGTTGGAGGAACAAAGGAAACCTGGGAGCACTGGACAGCTGTTTCGTCCTAGAATTGGATAAATTGAACATTGGTTAGATCAATTATCAACGAAGTGTATTTGTAAAATACCAATGGAATAAAAATGTTCCTGACGTTTCACAACTTCGTGGAAATTACTTCTTCAGAGAATAAAAGTTGTACACATTATCGCATGTTTAAATAGTAATTGGAACTAACTACTGAGAAGGATGAAACAGTGCTGTTGTGATGTTTTTTTTCGCTGTATACTAGTATTTCATAAATGAATCACGTTAGTATACAGATCTTTGAACTATAGCGTCATCATGAAAGCACTCAAATTTTTTTTGAAATTTGACACTTTTAAAGTTTACAGGAAAACTATATAAACAAACAAATGAAATAGGAATGAGTTCTCAGGTGTTTCATATTGTTGCACACCTCTTCATATCTCACATTGAATCCATAATCTTTGCTAACGCCATCAGACTACGTATTTGGCTTAGAGACGTGAATGATACATTTGTAGTAGAATGAACAATTTCCTTATGATTTACAAATTAGATGGTTCTTGTTGAGATTTCTCATATCTGAGTAGTTTTTCAACTGCTCAACTGTGGTATAAGCAAGATTTCCTCTGAAAACCATACGGATGAGATCATCAGGTGTGATTTCTGATTCAAAAATGTCATGGTATAACCGTCGATACTACTAATGGACAACTTGAGTAGTTGGTGATCTGTAGTATTTCGCCAACCAGATCCGAATAATCTGAACACCAGACGGCCGTTTCGCTCGTTTGCCACCGAGCTCATCAGCAGTGTATCCGGATAAATTCAGCTCATATAGCCGAATTAGTTCAGATCACCTAAATTTGACTAGCTGACTTGTATGGACCGGTATACCCAAAGTAGAATGAACAATTTGCAAATGATCCGCACATCTCGATAGTTGAAAAGTTAGTCAGCTGTGAGAAATGTCAACATGAACCGTGCAATTTGTAAATCATTTGTAAGTTGTCTATCCTATTTTAGGTATACCGGTGCATACAGGTCAGCTAGCCAAATTTAGGTGATCTGAACTAATTTGACTGTGTGAGCTGATGATCTTGGTGGCAAGCGAACGAAACGACCATCCGGTGTTGAGATCATTCGGATCTGGCTGGGGAAATACTACAGACCAGCCTGAATGGTTACTAACTACTCAATTTGTCCAGTAGTAGTATCTCTCGACACATTTGTAATTTTGAAAAGATCAACCCTCTGAATTTTTTATAAATTAATTGATACTCATTCTTCATGTATAAAATTCACGTATGAATGTGAAAATACAAGTGGTGAACTACCTTTTATCGTAAACCAACACATTCAAATCGATATCTTGATTTCAACTTACCACAACCAATCAGTGCTTAATTTTCACTTGCTCGTAACTCGTTAAGGAGGTCCACAAAGCCCATCACGACTAAAGACTACAGACAACCGGAAGTAAGAAACATAACAGATGTATTACGTCCCAATAACTACTCTAAGAATGTCGTTCAAAAGATTCACAACCATGAGCAGTAGAATCTAAGAGGAAAATCAGATGATGAGTCCTGGATCAGCACAATAGTTCTACCATCCCGCCAAGATACAACTGAAGGGCTACGAAGGATTTTAAGGAAACACCGAGTTAGAGCCTTCTACACGACAACCAACACTCAGGAATGCTTTAATCCACTTAAAAGATAGAATCCCTTTTAACCCTCCGCTCAGAGATGTGTCTACAGATTAGGCTGCGTCGATTGTGATGCTTATTATATTCAGACATCATTCAGTGAGATCCTCATTCGTGTAAAAAAGCATTGAAGTTACACAAAACATTCGACCAATAATCCTGTAGAACTGAAAAATTCACAAATCGAGTCGTCAATCGCTGTTCATGCAATCTGTCACAACCATAAAATTGATATTGAAAATATTAAAATAATTCAAAAAAGGTTTTTCAAGCTTCAAGGATGACTGAAGCATTTCACACTATATGGAGTCCTGATGCGCTCCATTAATACAAAGGAAGGCCTAACTATGTTATCAACTTGGATAGACTATATCCGATATTGACATATTGCACACATAGATCATAACAAAAATGCATATGCACAAACAAAATGAGTTCGTCATCTGTAGCATTTTTCTCAAATCCTTGCACGTGTTCGCACATATTCACATCTTCACCTTGAAGTCATAGACAAATAACTGATGACGATGACAATTATTCCTTTCAAGTTGTTATTCATCGAAGACTGACATCAGTTGGAGGAACAAAGGAAACCTGGGAGCACTGGACAGTTGTTTCGTCCTAGTATGGGACTCCTCAGCAGTGCGCACCCACGACCCCGAAATATTTCTAAATCTCCACAACCCCCTCAAAATTTAATTATTCCTTTATTATTATTGTGTATGAACAACGTGTTCTGATTTGTCGCTATTTACCATTTAAGCATATGATAACATGTACAGATTTTATTCTCTGAAGAATAGATTTCCACGAAATCGCAAAACGTCAAATGTGCATTTTTTTTTACCTCATTGGGATTTTAAAAATGTTTAAAACACTCCTCAATATGTGTGAATGGTGTTTTATGTGATTTACATGTGAACGCCATAGTATATATTATTCTTACTTTTCAGCTATTAATCAAGGTTACTTTTCACAGTTAACTAGGTAAAACTAATAACATCAACATTGTTTACAAGATTTTCTACTCTTTTTGTTTTCTCTAAAACTAGATGATCTTCAAACAATTCTCATTGATGTAGCTTGTATTCTTCTGGCTGAAGTTGCTGTTGATTGGGTTAAACATTCTTTCATTACTAAATTCAATGTGATCCCTTCAAATGTGAGTTATATTTGCATTGTTGTTAAACTACTAATAACATATGTACTGCTTAGAGTACTTAGAAATTTATACCAACGGGAAATCTTCTCCAAAGTGAATGATTGTACTTTTGTGATTCTAATATTCTTTCTGTTTTCTACCTTATCAAGGAAAGTACCTTGTTGCATATTTTTATTGCAGTAAAACAATGCAGCTCAAGTGAAAGAAACAAAAGACAGGTATGCAAGAAGGAATGTCCATTGTCAACAAGTGGAACAGTAGTCGTTAAATATGGTACACCTTGCACTAAAACCGTCATTTGCAAAATATGCTTCATTTCCTCTTCTGCTTCTTTCTTGATTTGCTCTTCATACGCCCGCACTGTCTCTTGCGTTTCTCTTGGCGGCATTCTTACCCATTTCTGTTAATTCCCTATGATTTCTGCCTTCCTCTCAACAAATACTACTTCTCATATCCATTCTTATCAGCAACGCCCACTACATAAGTATTTTAATATATAGGAGGCACACTCGTTATGTAATGGCTTGTAATACTCGATAACCCAGATCATAGTGGTTTCGAACCCTATTCCTATTGCTTAAAAGATGGAGTGAATAAACTAATGGCCCTCCGTTGATGTTTACTCTATGAAAAACGCAAAATTATCGATCTGATCCTTAAATTTTCGAGTGTATGGTCATTAAAACTTTGCCAGAGACCAGAAATTACTGAAGAGGGTTTCAGTACAGATTGCATTTAGTTCCTTTCAGGTTATAAAATACATAATCACTCATTAGTATCCTTGAAGTCCCAGAGTCATTGGTAAATGACTTGGAATGTTGATTTCCACTTTATCATTGCATATCAGTCACTTTTTCTAGGTCGACGGATGCCTTTTTGTAAGGACTTTAACATTTAGCAAGAATTTAGTGTTTAAGCAAGCATTAACAAGGCATGCGGCTCACATTTTTCTTAGCAGTCTTTTGACAGTGTTATCTAGTTGTACCATGGATCAACTATAATCGTTCTAGGTGTATTATTGCTTCATTTACTGATGATGAATTGTGGTATCATTGGGACTGTCAAAGAACAGCTATCTTACACTCTAGATTAGAATGGTTTATTCCGTATGGTATGCAATGATGCATTATTATTTACTGGATGACTTTGGAAACACAATTTATTACCTACAATCATATTACGGCAACTTCACAACTTCCTGACTTACTTTTATAGTTCTATTGCTTTCTCTTCTCTGAATTGATTGGTGGTGGAGTTTGAAATATGTCTGGGATCGGTGTTAAATCACTTCTGTTGCACGTAGTAGACCGGTTTTGGGTCGGTCGGAATGTTTTTACTTTCAATACCTTAGGGTAGTAATTTCAGCTTGACTCTATATTACAACTAAATTTTGTACACTAGGCTATTATTACATTTGACGAATAACTGACTTTAGGCAAAGCCTGACATGTATTACATAGGCCAAGTCGCCGTTCGCCTCGTCACATAATGTTGACCAAAGTAGGTTCAGGCTGGAAAAAAGCTCTAAGTGGCTAGACTAAAACATGGCACCAATGTATGAAGTCTGACTGCTGGTTTGAGTCGTGTTGGGCTATGCAAACTAGCCGGTTGGGGTCCGCGGGACAGGAGAAAGCAATGGTTGGAGATTGTAGGTCATATGGCTCAGAATCGATGTCAGTGGCTCAGATGTATACACGCATTATCCTCATCTTAACGCCATACCAAATCTCACCATTTTCTCATTCTTCCTTTCTCTCTTTTAGTGCTATATATTTCTTTTGACTGAATTTCCTTTTCTTCATCTTGCAATCCACTCCCTTTTTACCTAATGTTCTGATAATGGGTATGGCAACTCGGACCGTTATGTAGTAATGCCTGGTCCCATGTTGATTTGGATGGATGAATGAAAGTCTGACATATAAACTATCTAAATGTTCAGCTTTGAAATTGTCTCATTGGAAACTGTTCCAATTCTAGACTAATTAACCCTTATGAATTGAAACGTTAGCCTAATGATCTGCATATAGAAGATGATAAAATTGTTAATTTTGACGTAACATACTGTAAAAGTTGTCTGAAGTCATCTGAATATCATAATGATAAAAGTTTAAATATTTCTCACCTTTAGTGTGCTTAGATTTCAAGATACAATGTAAGCAAACAGAAGAGTAGCTACGGGACTATCAAAATCTTTAGTTGGAGTAAATATACTTACTGACAGTTGGGTTATACTGTTCTCGAAAGTATAATGAAAGCATATGTCTACTGTGTTGAAATCTGAACATTTTTCAGTTTTTTTCACTTAGAATTGGTAATAAGTCCATTTCAGTTCACTGTCGAATTACACAATGAAGTAGCAAGATTATCTCTGTCAGATCGTAAAGTCAAGCAAATACCCATGGTAGTTTAGACTACGGCTTTTTAGTTGGAATTTACCACAGTCTAGTAGATACTCAGTCTCTGCTATAATAGATTTGAGTAATCGAGCAAGGGTAGCTAATTAGAAAGTTTAAACATGTCGGAGACACTACTATTCGGTGAACAATCTCCAGAGCTTAAAAGTTAGCTAATATCCATATGAGAGGAAGCAGTAGTTATGTTAGGAGTGATTGCAACATGCAGAAGAGAGAATTCAAAGCTTCTGGAGTGTGGTCATATACTGAAAGAACATCATAAACATTGAGTATGATTTTCGATAATGTTGGGATCATTCATATCTAAAACTTCACCGGGGGACAAGTTGTTAACTTAAAGATTCCATCGACTTGGGCAACTCAATGAAACAAATTCTATGCAATGGTTCAGAGTTCAAGTTATTTATTATTATCTGTCTTTTGGGTCTCTAGTTTAACATAGGGCTTTAGTAGCACGTCACCATTTCACTCTCTTCTCTGCAGTCTTTTGAAGCCGGCTCCACAACTCCCCAGAAGCTTTCAATTCTTCCTCACATGATCTCCGTATCACCTTCTGATGCCCAACACGTCGTTTCTCCTTTGGGTTCCACTTGACAGCCTGGCGCGTGGTATCCCCAAAAGGTCTTCTCACTGTATGTCCAATCCAATCCGTCTACAATTTCTTATGCATATTTGTTGGGCGATAGGTTGCTGGTTGGTTCGTTACCACGTCAGAGTGTGTTCCTTGTTGCTTATTCTTTCTGCCCATCCAGAGTTCAAGTACGATAAATCAAACCAGATGATCAGGGTGGCTTGCGGGTATTAAAGCAAAGGAAACTAGCTAAACTTTGAATGGCAGGTCTCACAAACGTGGGTAGTCCAGAAACCGTAACTTTTTGGCCCAAGTACTTGACTTTCTATCAATAGTTCCCGGATTCGAATCCAGTTTTTATCTACTTAGGCTTAGGCAATGGGATACTATCTATTACTCATTCTTACAATAACTTTATTTCATAACTAAGTAAGCAGACGCCAGTCAGACATGAATCTGGTATCACTGCTTAACGGGGAAAGTTGCTTTACCTCAAACCAAGATACAAGACAATTATATGAAAGACGTAGAAAACAAAAAAAGTAAAGTTGTAGAAAATCATAAGGTTAGTAGAGAAAGGGGTAAAAGAAACGACAAGATATAATGTAAAGATAATGCTTACATGCCTATGAGCGAATGAGATTGATATTGAAACATCTCAACTAGTCTTTAGCCTTTGGCTTTTGGTCGTCTTGTTCATCCCAACCTACTTGTCTACGTCTCTCTGAGCTACTCATATCGTCAGCCACAGGCTTCACCAACTGGTACCACATTTTATTCTGTGATGGTGTGGATGTGCGTTGCACATGACAAGCCACCGCCCACCTCGACATGTGATATTATTCGAAGTAGGATTAGATTAGAAGGAGGCCAGGAGTGGTTGGACCAAGACATTTTACAAGTCCGTGTAGTCTGTGAGTGCTGATCTGAACGGTGTAGACTGTTTGCGGTTCTTGAAACTATAGGAATCAGTCATTGGCGACTCCTGTTGACATGATTTACAGACGGTTTCAATGGCGCAGAAGTTTTGAGTATTTTTCTTAACCCTTGTCTCTCTACTCTTTTTCTCCTCATGGTCGTTTGCCTACCTTAGTATCACTCTTTTTTTATCAACTACTTCTTTACATGCTTCTGTAAAATGTGGCAACTTCAACCTATACACTCCAGTGCTAGGTTTTGCATTGATTCATCTGTCTGTCTTTAATGTGGGCATCGTTACTTTTTGTTTGATCTATCTCTATTGCAGCTAACATTGAGTGTCTGGTTAGGTGGTGTCCATAACATATATTCAATTCACCTGATGTAATGAATTTTTGCAACCTCATCAACTGAATTATCTCTTCTACCCATGGCTCTACACCTAACTACTAATGTGTTGGTTTCGGAATTCACGACCAGTGCTACGTTATATCTGAAGTTTTAATGACTGTGCTTCACAGTGAATTAATATGCATTACATGGGACCCACAGTAGTTAGATAACTCACCGACATAGGAAGTGGTGTAAGTTGACAAAGTCAATGGAACTATTTTTATCTATGCCTACATTTCGTCGATTATTAACACTCCAGGTTTAGTCTGACTTTGATTTAAGTGAAGTAGTCAACATGCCCAGCCACTTCACTCCCATGGTCATATAACATATTGATATATATATATATATATATATATATATATATATATATATATATATATATATATATATATATATTATATATATATATACCAGTCTTGAAGAAACATTTTAGTAGTGAAAATCCATCCCAAACATTCCTAAGTAGTCAAAGTATCCAGAAATCTCTGTATCATTTTAGTGTTTCCACCTAAAACTGAGTCTTCTAAAAATTCTCTTGTGACGAAATCAGTTCTTTTAAATTTAAACGACGAGAGGGAGACCTCTATGAACACATTTAAAGAAAAAGCTGAATAAGAATGGATAGAGTGGAAATATTCCATGGAAAACAATCACATGGTACTTTAACCCACTAACAGTTGTTCGAGTATTCAGTATTCGGTAGAGTGATGTACTTGCCTGAAACCCATTTCAGTGAAGGGCATTGCGATAAGACCTATCAATCTACGGCGTCGATTGCAGCCTTGAGCTCAAAATATACAACTATCTTTGGGTGCTAGAGTGCTTGTGTTCCAACACGTCGATTGCTTGAGGTCTTGTCGATACATACATGACTAGGTCTCAAAGCTTATTAGTTTTCTCGAGTTGGGTATTTCTGATTATAGAACTCGGGATCCTAATTAGGTACATTTACCAGGTTGATTTGCATAACTTTAATTACTTATTCTACGAAAGAATTCAGCCAATATTTTTGCATTCAATAGCTTAGTCACATAATCGTTTGGAAAAATGTAATATGCATATAGTTTAATGGATTTAGGTGGAGAGACTGGCGGATCATTTTGTTCATCGAATCATTATCTAACACTTACGATAAGCTAGATTCAACACTAACCCCAAACATGTTGAATTCTACTACCGATAAAATCAAAGAATTCAGTTTGGAGGTTTATGGGGATTTATTGATTTCAGGCTGGTATTCATTATAGACTGACATTAGTTGGAGGACCATTGAAAACACTGGACAACTGTTTCGTCCTAGTATGGGACTCCTCAGCAGTGCGTACCATGACCCACCCCACCAGGGATCAGACCTACGACCTTAGGGTTCCGTGGCCAGTACGATATCAAAGAATGTAAAGCAACAAAATGATAAAAGATAATTCAGTTTGAAGGTTTATGGGGACTACTTGATTGTAAGATAGTACTGATCGTGACCTGACATCCATTGAGATACCATTTATAACGTTTCCTTCCTAATATAGGACTCCTCGTTTGTGTGCATCTGGCCAAGGTCCTAGCACACAACCGCCAGATCTCACGGTGAACATGTTCCTATTCAGCCAATTCGTTGGAATTCAACGGTCCAAATGCTTTCCTATTTCTATCAGGAGGTTTCATGATTATGGGGAAGAAATTATGCTTGAAACGTCATGTGGTGAATAATTCTGTATTATTGTGTGCCATAATAAATAAACTAACCTTATATGGAATGACTTTGCACCGCAGTTGCCAAATTGTGCTCTTTATATCGCTATTTCACTGACTTTTGACATTACATATACGGTGATGTATCTCAGCATATTCAGATGCTTTAAGTTGCTTCATTTCATAAGGTCTAGATTAACTTCATCCACTTTTGATACATTCGTTTTAGATACTTAGCATTGGATAATGGACTGAAAGCTCGTGCAGCTAAGTAGTGTCTTGGTACATCATATGGTTCATAATAGCTTTCATTTGTACACTATGAGAACAGTTGAAAGGAGTTGAATGTACCTATACCTTTGATACCACTAACATTTAGTATTGTTTCTGCAATGTTGGTTATTTAAATGGTGGAGAATATTTGTAGCCGAGGTGGATGGTCCTGGTTGTATTGTGTTCTCTGAGCTGGGTTGTTTAATTGTGGAGATTTCATCATGTTTCTAGACGACATCATCAGCACTGATTCCTAGAAGCTTGGCATTCAGGTCAGTCAACAATCAGTAGATGTATAGACATAGATCTAATCTATCAACCAATGAGAAAAATGGTAGGCAACAGAAAGGTCAGACATTAGGCAGAAGAACAGTCAACAGGAAAATCTATACAGTCAATGAGACAACAATCAAAGGAAACAACCAATCACGAACCAGTTCATTAGGGCAAGCTACTGAATCCCTCATGGAGAGGTAATGATAGCTCACTTCATACTGAAGTTAGTGCTGATGATGTCGTGTAGAAGAAAAAACGATGAAAGCTCCACGATTAAACAACCCAGCTCAGAGAACACAATACAGCCATTGTTGGTTGATACATATTCCCAGATAGTTTGTAAGAAATTGTGACTCATTACTTTTAATGAATCTATGTCGAGCTTTGCTCCTGAACTAGACTTATTTAAGGAAGCTTAACTGAGTGCACCTATGTTCTATTTCATGAAATAGACAAGAAATCATACTTTTTGTAAGTGTCAAACCTGGCCATTGTGGTAGGATGTAATTCCACATTAGATTTATTTATTTGATATATAGCGCACAGTGATACAGTATTATTTACTTCATGAAGTTTCGAGCATACATAATTGCTTGGTTATATTGTGTTCTCTGAGCTGGGTTGTTTAATTGTGGAGCTGTTATCGTTTTTTTCTTCTAGACGACATCATCAGCACCAACTTCAGTATGAAGTGAGCTATCATTACCTCTCCATGAGGGATTCAGTAGCTTGCCCTAATGAACTAGTTCGTGATTGGTTGTTTCCTTTGATTGTTGTCTCATTGACTGTATAGATTTTCCTGTTGACTGTTCTTCTGCCTAATGTCTGACCTTTCTGTTGCCTACCATTTTTCTCATTGGTTGATAGATTAGATCTATGTCTATACATCTACTGATTGTTGACTGACCAGAATGCCAAGCTTCTAGGAATTCTCTGATATTCTTTATATTTCCTGTCCAAGATTTCTCCATTGTCTAATGTATTGTTGGTTTTGTAAATGATATTTAGTTTGTTTTCTTTGGCTTCTGCGTCCTTTTGTCTGCATAATATGGTTCGAAGAGGAATTTGTTGGTTTATTATATATATATATATATATATATATATATATATATATATATATATATATATATATATATATATATATATATATATATATATATATATATATATGTATTACTCATAATCATATCAATCATTGATATAAATGATTACGTGACCAATGATAATTTATGCTCGAAACTTCATGAAGTAAATAATACTGCATTACTGTGCGCTATATATCAAATGGACATATCCAATATGGAGTCATACTTATGGTTTTAGGGTTGTCAGTAATATTTAGCTAACCTTACCAGAACAAAGTTAAACGTCAAGGGAAATTCTCATGATTTACATTGCTAAAATTGGTCATCTTTTTATTTTTTAACTTCAATACCGTATTTTGCTACGTACCCAGTGTTATAGATGATGCACATAATGGAGATGTTTTGCATCAGTTGATTGATTGTTTATTAATAGTGGGCGAATTATCTACCTACTACTTCTTCTTCTTCAATTTTGACTGTATTTTCATGAAAATTTATCATTATACTGACTGATAATTGTATGAGTTGCTTCTTTTCTTTACATCATAGGTATATGAAGAATACACTGTCAGCATTGCCTATGACTTATTATTGTGCCGACAAGGCAAAGTAAGTTAGATGTTGACTATTTGAAATATTTAACAACTTGTTGTGCTGTTTCACATTTATTATTATTATTTTTCTTTGGAACATAGGGCTTCAGTAGCACGTCGCCATTTCACTCTCTTCTTTGCAGTCTTTTCAACCTACCTCCACGACTGCCCATAAACTTTCATTTCTTCCTCACACACTAACTCCTCCATGTTACCCTCGTACGCCCAACTCGTCGTTTCCCATTTGCATTCCACTCGACTACCTGGCCTGGTACTAGATGTCGCAATCGGTCTTCTCAGTGTATGCCCAATCCATCTCCACTTTCTTCTGCATATTTGTTAGACGATGAGTTGTTGGTTGGTTCGTTGCCAGGTCAGAGTGAGTTCCTTGTTGCTTATTCTTTCCGGCCTTTTGATCTAATCTTCAGTATCGAGCAAGCGTAGGTACCTGTTGATGAATGTCTGCAGTTTGTTGAAAATGCTTTTCATGTCGCGCCAAGTCTCTCAACCATCACATAGAAGCACTGACTTGACTGAATTAGTGTTGAGAATCCGGATGTTGTTCACGCTTTATGCTGAGTGGAGTGGAGTGGAGTAGATCTCCACACTGATTTCAGATTGATGAAGGAAGGCTTGTCTTGCTGTTTTTCCGATCGTGGCTTTGACATCCTCATCTGTGCGTGTTCCGACTGTAGTTGAAACGATTCTGTCTTGCCTGGGTAGGTGAAAGAGACAACTTCCTTTAGATTTCTCCTGTTGATGGTGATTGGTGACAATAAGTATAAATGCTCTATTTATTGCAGTATTGTTGTTTATGATAATGAAGTCGACTGTAGTTGTGACGTAGTTTCATAATTTATGGTTAACGTGGAATACTATTCACTACACTATACAGTAATACGATTCTAACTTCTCCTCTACAACTGTTATCCTATATATTATTGACGAAAGTTATTCATTCCTAATTGAATATAATAACTGATACTCATCATAAAAACACATTAATGTAGAATATTATACAAAAGTATGCTTATCCACTTCAACATATATCAGAACACCATTAAACAAAGAACTTAACACAAGTATAAAGATAAAAAGCAATTATCTGAACGAGGAATATTCTCTCCAAAAAATATTCTCACCAGCTTCTACAGTTATAAAATGAAATTTTACAGCGTAAAACAAGCGAAGTTTGTTTATTTGTCGATATTGAGATGATATAAATAAAAATGAATAATGTGATGGTAAACGAAAAGACAACGAATAAAAAAGGCAGAAGTGGCCTTTAGTTTACTAAAGCCTAAGGGAGTAATAACACTTCTACATTTTTTTTCTGAATGCACAGTTTAGGTTTAATCAACCTCCATTATGCTGAGCAGACGTTGGGAAGCTACATGTAGTATTGTTTTTAGAATGCAATGTATTACATTGAAAGCTTTATCAGCATCTTGTGATGTCCTGTGTCTACTAGGTTCGGAAAAGGCAGAGCGAAAACGGACATCCGGATAAGTTCCTCATAGGTAACATCAGCTACATTGATCTTAAATGAGAACTGATGAGAGTGGAGAAGAAGCCTTACAATTCAAGGGAGATACTTCAAATGACATCCTATCACAGCGCCTACCTAGATCAATCCGTAGGACGTTTTATGAAAGTCAGCTTTGCATATCATTCAGTGGTCGCCCAATGCTCAATCCTAGACTAAAGGATAGCCTACCTAATCTTAGCTCATCATCTGGCATATATGGGTTCAACTGTTCCTGTGGAACTAGTTACATAGGGCATACGACTAGGCAAGTGCATCTCCGTATACGAGATCATTTACCAGCTTGGTTCGGAAAAGGCGAAGTGAAAGTGGTGAAAAATTCCATCCTAGTTCACCTAGTCGACACAGAGGGCATCACATAGGTGCTTACAAAGCTTTCAGAGTCGTTCACCGTGTTCCAAAAATAACACTACATGTAGCTCGCCAATGCCTGCTCAACATAGCTAAGGCTATCACGATTAGGTTGATCAAATCTGAGCTGTGTATTTAGAAAGAACATGTTCAAGAGTTGTTCCTCTCTTGACCTTCAGTAAACTAAAGATCACTTCTATCTTCGTTGTTTTTTCATTCACCATCATAATATTCATCTGAATATATGTCATCCCAAATTTTTTTTTATGTATCTCACCCTAACTTATACGGTGTGCAAATGGATTTTATAATTGTAGAAGGTGATGATAATATTTCTTGGAATGAATATTCTTCGTTCAGATTGTTACTTTTTATTATGTTATGAGAATCTTTAGTTGTTTGTTATATAGAAATATTAAAAATTAGGAGGAACATTATTGAGGTGAAGATGATTAGGTTAACAAGTAAAAATGAATTTGTTTGTGCCATTTTAATCGCTTTCAAGCTTTTTCATTTGGGATCACATACCATTGATCATAAAGTTATAAATCAGACAATTGAATAAGCCTTTCCAGCTTGCATTAGTTGTTTGGAAATATGTTCTTCTGTGTAAACTATGCGCTTAAGTTGTCAGGTATGTTTCGTTCCAGTGTTGTTTACATCCTTATTCTCTATGGTTTAGAGTAACTTTTCTTAATAATCCATCTGTCATATGCTTACGATATGAATAATTTAAATATTCCCATTGTGATAATTAGAAGACAGAGTTTGAAGCGAATACATTTATTCGGTAAATTCTTGTCAGACTTTACATTTACATTTACAAATTATTCAGTATAGTCCTCATTTGATATCAACATGGTTAAATTAATTCGGGTATATGAATTAGAAGATAACAGTAAAGATGATAATAAAACGAAATCTCGGGAAGTTAATGTATATATATTCTCAGTAATCAATCCTTGTAGGTGTCTGAGTGAATTGTGTATGTGTGTGTGTGTGTGTGTGTGCAGGGATAGAGGGAAATAAAATTATTGTCGCATACCGATTAAATAGTAAAATGATAATGATAAGATTACAAACAGAGATAATATTTACATTTATTCGGGTGACTGGGATGGAATTTACTGTAATTGTATCTGGGTTGAAGTTGAAAGCCATTGAAGGGAAAGGGAACGAAAAAACATCTTCTGAATACATAAATTGGGCTTGAAAATTTTAATTGTTATGCTTAGCAATCGGAGGCTCACAAACTTGAAGTATTGTGATGGGACTTTGTAGATAATAGTAATTGCTGAGGTTTCGTCAATCTTATGCTCAGTATATACTAGATGAGCAAGTATTGAGCTTTGGATGGATTTCACTGTACCTCTGCTTAACCACGTTAGACATTGCTCAATGAACCGATGGTGGGTTTGCCGAGTCGTTCTACCTGAGTAACTATCTCCACAGAAGCAGTTAAGTTTATAAGTGCTCGTAAATGTGGCCGGATTCGGAAGTCTATCCTTCAGCTGCTTTGTCATCATACAGCGAGTAATAAATTTCAGACATAGTATGGTGGCAAAGAAGGTTTTTTGTATGAGATTTCTGAGTATCAGTGTTTCTGCAGCTGCATCTCCTTTGGACGCTTTAGGTTAGATATAATCGTTTCTTCGGCACCATTTGAAGGCGCTTTTCACCAGCTGTCTTCATTGTTACAGTCTTTTCACTATAGCCGTTCTCATATAAGGAGTTCTTTATTATTCTTAATTCATCGATCAAAGTATTGGATGTGCACATCTTATTGGCTCGAAATCTCAGTGTACGGATTAAATTCCTTTTGTACGTAGGAGGGACAAATGATCGGAAATTTGTGTACTGACCAACCCATGATTTCTTATGATGAATACTGCATCTGACACTGCCATCTGTTCGTCTTGATAGCAAAACATCTATAAATGGCAGACATCTGTCTTTCTCTGTTTCACATATGAACTCGATTTCTGGATGATCACTGTTGAATGTATCCAGAACGTCAGGATAAGTATCATTTGTGTACAGAATGAAAGTGTCATCCATGTATCTACAACAGTTTATCTATTGTGCAACGCAGTTGTTCAATTTCTAGTTTCTCCATAAACATGTCGGCTAGAAGAGGACCTAATAGTGAACCGATTGCCACACCCATCTGACGGTAAGTTTCTTTGTTCAACTAATCGGTATGCGACGATAATTTTATTTCCCTCTATCTCTGCACACACACACACACATACACAATTCACTCAGACACCTACAAGGATTGATTACTGAGAATATATATATATATATATATATATATATATATATATATATATATATATATTAACTTCCCGAGATTTCGTTTTGTTATTATCATCTTTACTGTTATCTTCTAATTCATATACCCGAATTAATTTAATCATGTTGATATCAAATGAGGACTATACTGAATAATTTGTAAATGTAAATGTGAAGCCTAACGAGAATTTACCGAAAATACATATTCGCTTACGATATTGTTGAAAACTACTCATGTAAATTAGAACAAGACATATAAGCGAACAATATTATTTTCAATTACATCCTCTTCTTGCTTTACTCTAATAAAATAGCTTAATATATATATATAAAATTAAAGCAATCATGTAGTTTTGTCGGTTGATGTGATAAATGTTTAATTTAACGATGGAGATAATAATACAAATAGTAATAATGAAATTGATAAAAGTGATGACGTTGACTAAAGCACATGCAATATAGATGATGATAACGATGATAAGAACCAAGACAGCAGCATAAAAATGTAGACACTCGTACAACCAAAATGGGTCAAAAGGTTGTGAAAATAAAAGCTACCTAATAGTGAAGGGCAAGGCAAGTGGATAAACAAAGCCTAGACGAATACAGTAAGTATACGAAAGGGGTGAAGAATAAGAAAAGGGGTGGGGAATAAGAAGAAGAAGAAGAACTGAATGATAAAGTCATTAACTAAGTATTCCCTAGCCAAGGGAGAGATAAGGGATGTACAAACTTCTCCTGAATACAAAGACTAGGATTATTAGCTCGAATTCCCACAGCTTCTGCTATGTGTAAAAGACGAGTTTTAATACCTTTTGAAAGATGAGATGGTATGCGGTGTATAATCGTGAAAGCAATGTTCTTATCTACCGAGTGACCACTATCAACGAAGGGAGATAAAACTGAGCTTCTGATGGATTTTATCTGTCCCTTTCCTAACCATGAAGGTAGAGGCTCAGGAACACGTTTGTTAAGTTGTCTAGTAGTACACCCTATGCAGCTTTCTCCACAAGAGCACCTAAACTTGTAAATACACATAGAAATGGCAAAACTAGATACCTTATCTTTTGTTTGATCAACAACAATTGGTTGACTGGAAAGTGATAGACTACTCGGTTAAACCTATAAAACGATACCGATTTCATGAAACATATCACAAGAAAATATTCGAAGAGATTAGTAGTTTGACTAATCAGATTACAGTGATATACTGTTTAAGCTAAATCAATGCATACATAGCAGTCTTGAGGGTTGATTACGCATAAAGTTGTTCAATGCTGTTTCGTTTTTAGCATTTCGCTGATTAATACTATTTCGTGTTAGAGATTATTTTCCGATGAAACGTCAAATAAAGCAGTCAGGAAACAGATATGTCTTCAGGTCTATACTTTTCTTTCTGTTAAATTTATTCACAGTGATATATTATCTTCTCTATAATCATTGTTAATAATATATACATCTTTAATTTTCTTCCTAGCCTTAATAATTGTTTATTACTTCTTAGAATACATCAGATCACTTTGACCTTCTTTCACGTCGTATGGGCCTAACTCCAATTCCTCTTAGTTGTTTGATCAATGCTATGCTCTTTCAGACAATAAGAAATCCAAGTACCCTTTGTCTAACTCTACCATTTGTAGTATCTATGTAAGTTATTCTTGTGATTTGTTTGTAAGAACAAAGGAAATATAAAAAACACATCAACTAGGCGTTAACTCAGCAAATTGTTAACAATATCTACAATCGATTTTTTGTGTGTATTTAACTGTTTTTGTAATTGTGTGTTCATTTCTCACTAACGATTTCCTTCATCCAGGTTTAAGCCATTTGTTATTAGTAGAAATGATAAAGTCTATGTAATTTGTGTTTACCTGATCAATTTTTTTTGTATATTGGCATAAATAATAGGGGTTGACAGTTTATGCAGATTAATTAAGCCTATCACAATAATTACTTAATCTCATAATGCTTACTACCTTTGAATCAGAAAAATATATAGGCTGTAGAGCTCATATAGAGACAATCATCATCATCATCATTATCAACATAGGACCAGGCATTACTGCGTAACGGTCCGAGTTGCCACACCTCATATCAGCACATCAAGTAAAAAGGTAGTGAGGTGAAGGATGAAGATAAGTGAATGCAGTCAAAAGAAATATAAAGTACGAGAAGAAAGGAAAGAGGAGTGACAAAATAGTGAGATTCGGTATAGCGTTGTTAAGATGAGGATAATGTGTGTATACATCTGCGCCACTGACTTCGGTTCTGAGCCATATCACCTAGGGTCTCCAACCACTGGTTCCTCTTGTCCCGTGGACCCCAACCACCTAGTCTGCATCGTCCTACATGGCTTAAACCAACAGTCAGAGACTTCATACATTGGTGCCATGTTTTAGTCTGGCCACCTCGGGCCTTTTTCCAGCCTGAACCCACCTCAGCCAACATTGTGTGACGAGGCAATCGGTGACTAGGCATACGTAGTACGTGTCCCAACCATCTCAGTCGATGAAGGTTCACAACCTCGTCGACTGACTTACCTCTTCTCCCTAAAACTCTACACCTAACTTCTGCATTACTCACATGGTGACACCACGGAATACGTCCTATACTACGAAGGCAACGGTGGTCAAATACCTGTAACCTTCTCATGTCTTCCACTTTCAATGGCCATGTTTCACAGCCATACAGTAGAACAGAGCGGACTGCTGTGCAGTACACGCGACCCTTAATAGACAAACGAATATCACGGCGGCGCCATAGGTGGCGCAAATTGGCAAAAGCCAATCGAGCCTTTTGTATCCGTGCAGAAATCTCATCGGCAACTAACCCACCGGAGTTGATCCTACTTCCCAGGTAAGTGAAGTGGTCAACACACTCAACCACTTCACTCTCTATTGTTAACCGCGGTACCGCTGAAGACCAGTCCTGGAGCAAAAATTTGCATTTGGGTGGTGAAAATCGCATCCCAAACATTCTCAAATTCCCACTCAAAGTGTTCAGAAGACTCTGCATCTTGTCAGCGTCTTCACCTAACAGGACTATGTCATCTGCATATTCTAGATCTAAGGAAAATTCACCTGTGATCCGGTCAACGTCTTTGTAATTAGGTGACGAGAGGGAAACCTCCATAAGAATATCTATGATAAAATTAAATAAGAATGGGGATAGTGGGCATCCTTGACGGACACCACTTGATGAGTATAGCTCCCTGGACAACTCACCATAGGCTCTAACATGCCCACAAGTGTTCGAGTAGAGAGCTTTCAATAAGGTGATGTACTTACTAGGCACGCCTTTCAGTGACAGACACTGCCATAAGACTTCTCGATCAACGGAGTCAAATGCCGCCTTCAGGTCGAGAAATACAGCTATTGTCGGGCGTCTGTAAGCATGCCTATGTTCCAGGACCTGGCGCAGTGTGAATATTTGGTCGATACATCCACGGCCAGGTCTAAAGCCTGCCTGGTTTTCTCGGGCTTGCTGTTCCCGAGCTCCACTCAGGCGTCGGAGAATTATAGAACTTAGGATCTTAGACACTATGTTTGTCAGGCTGATTCCTCTGTGGTTATCACAAGAGGACTTCTCGCCTTTCTTGAAGACTGGGATGATAATATGTAATCATATGTAATATATGTATGTATGTATGTGTGTATGTATGTATGTAATATATGTAATCATTTCCAATTTAGTCTAGTGATATATGGAAATATTTTTTTTGAGATGAATGGGGATTTTTAATTTAGAGGTAGTATTCATCATGGACTGACATCAGTTAGGGAACCATTGAAAATCTGGGAGCACTAGACAGCTGTTTCGTCCTAGTATGTGACTCCTCAGCAGTACGCACCCACGACCCGGCTAGGGGTCGAACTCAGGACCTTCAGGTTTCATGGCGAGTGCGTTAACCATTCAGCCACTGGGTCGGTTTTCAGTGGTTCATAATTTCCCAGTCTGGATACACAAAACGTGTTTGGAATTTGCCTCACCTGTGGTGCCGGCGAGATATCCGACTATATATCAAAGGACAAGTATGCTACGCTACAGTCCGTTCTGTCCTCTTTTACGGCTGTAAGATATGGCTGTTAAAGTTTGGAGATATACAATTACTACACGTTTCTTCGTATCATTGCTTGTGTTTAGTGGAATCACCGTGTGAGCAATGTTGAGGTCAGGCGATGGGTACTAGTCAAGTCGGTCGATGAGGTTTTGAACCCTCGTCGATTGAGATGGTTTAGACATGCATTGTGCATGCTGAGTCACCACTTTCCTCGACGTGCCACGCTGAGGGAAGTTGGACTAGGTTAGAAGGTTCAGGGTGGCTAGACCAAACCTGGCACCAGTCGATGAAATTTCTTACTGATGGTTTGAGTGGTGTTGGGAGATGCAGACCGCCTGGTTAGAGTGCCCGAAATGACAGGGATCAGTGGTTGAGGACTCTTGGTGACATGGCGGAAAATCGGTCACGGTGGCTTAGATGTGTTCATTCCCTGACATCTGAAGCTTGAATATTTGCAATAACCTTTATCTTATTTATTTTCATACACTACCCTATCTACGTTGATATCACTTTTTCTATCCACCTGTTGTTTTTATAATACTGTGAAGTGTGGCAACTTGAGCCGATGCACCTGTGTGCGAGGTTCCACTTTGATTTTGTCCAGTCAGATTGACCATGAACCTTAACCTGTTTTACATACGATATGAAATACTAAGTTATTTTGTCTAATAAGCTTTGCAGGGTCATGCACCTACAAAGATTGTTTCTTAGTGACTATCGGCTCAAGAAGTACCCCAATCCTAGGTTGACAATCTTAAGAACAACTACTGAAGTCCTTTACTTGCATAGAAACACTGGTTTCCAATCCCCATTTTGTAGTGTTTCCACTATTGTCATGCATACTGCTTATGTGTTTCGTATAGTTTCCGATACACCTCTAGAGAAATTTACGAGGATAATGTTGAGTAGTAATGCTTCTTATTAGTCAAATATTTCACATTAAACCTATTTTGAATGAAATAGGTTGAGGTAACCCAAAGTAGAAGTATCGATGTGTGTTTTTCGTACATACTAGTGTCTCTGTTTTATTCTGTAATCCGATAGAGTCAGGTTTTCTTCACTCTTAACTTTATCAGTAAACTGGACTACATATCTAGCTGATTTTGTGTAAAAAATCTTCCTATGTGATCTGACTTCAACACAGCAAATATATCCCCACCACATTTTAAGACTGCGTCTAAATGATTTATAGGCTTCGATAGCTGGGAATATTGATCACTTCAAGGCAACTTCTATTTGTCTGCATATTATTTTCTCATAACTTGATGATTGTAGAAGTATAATTGTACTCTATTTGATGGGTACCTATTAGCCTTGAGCGTTAGTTCCTGTTTAGATATAAGCTTATTTCTTGACTTCGTTTAGGGTCATTAATGTAGGGACTGGTTCTATCAAAAATAACTTCGTTCTTCATAATACGGTAATAGTAAGTTATCTTTGGTTAGTTTCAGCTGAACTTAGTACCATCACTAAATATTTAGACAGTTCATAAGTTGGGATTTTTGGGTTTACTATATGCTTTATGGCACTAATTGGTTTATGAACGTTATAAACACTGTGTATCCTACTAGTACTATCATTACTAAGTATGGAAGTAAACCAATTAAACTCACTCATTCGGTTTAATGAACCTACTGTGGATTTTGCAGCCTAACTGTCAACCAGTTCTCTGTAAAGCGCTGTTTGGATAATTGTAGTCAACCTTCCTAATGTCTGTCCAACACCGCTGTTCAGTTGACTTTATATTATTATCATTTTGAAGGCTTTACAGAGCTTCTGTTTCTAGTTTTGTTAAATTTCTTTCTGATAAATATGACTGCTTCATTCTATAACATATGCAACAAGCAAATTAATATGCAAACACATTACCACAGTGCCCAAGTTCATAATTACATTCTTAAAATTATGTTTCTTTTCCTTTTAGCTTATTTGTGGTTAAAGTTGCAACGAACCTTACTCTTATGTCTATGGCTTACTCTCATGTACGTGAGTATATAAACGCTGCCAGTAATAGTCAACCGGAGGAAAACTTCACGCCAAATGGTAACAGACCCGAAAAAAGTGTTGAAGATATTCATAGAGCTTCAGAAAAAGAAAACATTAAACAGCCTCAGCAAATTTGCCAGCCAGGAAAAGAACGAAAGATATCATCACGAAAGCCTCCTCTCGGTTATACAGGCTACGACCAACCGACCAGAGATGAAGAATACTTTCTGCCGATGGGTCTTAGACATCGACGAATTCGAAGTGATTCAGGTCCAGTAGATGTAGTCGCAAATTTGGGTGCAGTTTATTCATTTGCTTCTGAAGAGACATCAGAATATGCTGGTAGCAAGTTTCGAATGTCAAGTCCGATCTCTGCAGGTATTATCGCAAATGAACTGATTGAACCATATCATTCAATTATGGCCTCTGCAACTGGCACACCTAAAAGTTTATACGATTTTAATGAGTTAGCTCCCTTAAGTAAGTGATCATTGTACATTATTTGTTGATTCACTTGCGAGTAATATTCATATTTGTGTAGTTTTTTTCTAATGGCACTTTTCCATCTTATCTTTTATTCTAGCACCTATTAATCGAATTGATTCAGTGCATCGATTATTGAATTCTGGGAGTATGAAATCAGAAGTCGAATGTGAACGCAGTTTTTATGGATCAGCTTTGCTCCAAACTGAGGAAAAACCACTTATCACCACATGCATGAACTCATCAGCCACAACGTTACGTCCGGAAAAGTCAGAAATACACAACAGATATGATTTGACGAACATTTTATGTTCTGAAGTAAACAGTAATAAAGACGACTCATTCACAACAGTGTTAAGACCCCCAAGAGTTCGTGCCTTGATTAGACCAAGGTACTACAGTATTGACTTAGGCATTCTAAGCAGTTTCATGAAATGCATGGAAAGCAATACACACACCGCAGATGACATACCAGTTGTCCTAGAAAATGTCCCACAAGATGAGTCGAATTCTACATATAGTTCCAGTCTTATACACAAACGCCGTGTACGTACGATAACTGAAGGATCAAGTACTGCACCCGCACCTCCCATGGATCCTACAATACCTATTCTTTGGGAAAGAAGCAGTCGCAATAGTACTGTCAATCAGTTTGGTCTAGAACAACTCAAACCAACAACTCCTGGACGTGTAAAGCAACCGCTTTCCGATATTGACCGTTATTCGATGGTCGAAGGACAAATCAGTTAATTCATATCGCATGATGTGCGTGTATATTTCCTCTTTGTATATTTTGTAAAACCGAAGAATTGAAATCCTTTTTGGAAAACACAGAGTTTTCACTTATTGTTTTTGGCGTATGAGGCCGAAGACAGGAAGCTAGGTTATACGATTAAATGTCAGGATTAAATTTTCATTTTATAGTTGTTATCTTGCTGCTAAAGCACCAGATATGTATACTTAAAGTTTACCTCAAAATCCAGGCTTCGGTAAAATAAACAGTAACTGTTTCCCAAGGAGGGAATATTTAAACGCACCGATTCTTTAGCGTACGTCTTGAAAATACCATCAAACAATTAAATTTTACCTTTAAAAAGTAAATTCAAATATTATCATTGAAACCTTATGAGATTTCTATATCGAATGTATTTCTCAATCATTATTGTCTCTTTTTACTGGGTTATCTTGATTAACGCTAACTAGATTTGTTTTACTAATATCTTGTTTACATCAACATTTTCATAGGAGATTTTGGAAATCCTAGAATTAAGAAATTAAGCTTATTTAGAAAGGTATCTTTATGAAAGTTAGGAAACGATATGTAGAAAAAACAAACAATCCGTCGAATGAAAGATATTTGTTCAAGCTTAAATTGTTTAACAATGAAGACAATAATCACGTAGGTTTTAAGTGTGCTCGGATTGTTCCTAGTTCATTGAAATCATCAAGGAGCTCCCCGAATGGTGGTTGGTTTGATGTAACTTGTACCTTTTCACTTGTGCTAGGCTGTTGAGATAGAAATAAATTATTTATTGAAATTAGAATGAACAGACAATCGTAAAGGTTTGAACACGTGATTGAAGTCAAATGCTACCGGTTTGCGTCGCCAGTCATACATACAAGGTAAAGATGTGGCTCAGTGGCTGAAACACTAGACTTTTAAACAGTTAATCGCGGGCCCATCAATATATTCGATGACGCAACTCAACAACCTGCGTCACCGTAATTTTCGTAAGACCAAAGTAGGCTAGTAAGGTTTTCAGGACCATCGTTCCTCAGATTAGTAGGCCTCTTGAAGTTGACACATGGTTGAAAAGTTGTTTTAATCCCACCAGAAAGCGGATAGCTTTTTTGCTGACTAACACAATGATTGTACTTTACCTCAGTCGATTTTTATTTACGATAATAGCCTATTCAATATGAATCATTAGTTAAGGAAAGAAAAATGTCACTGAACAGTTTCACCAAGAAACGGTTATAAGAAAAGAAGTACGATGCGTTTCAAAAACCATCAACAGCGATTGCCATTTAGACAATGCGGTACGAGTTCTACTAACCTTAGTTGGTCCCACTGCTGGTCAGTATCCAAGAATCACCACAGCTTGTCTTCTACATTACTTGTGTATTGAACATGTGTTACTGATACTCGCACATTGTGGACATTTTCGTCAACAGTAGCCTTCAACGAAACACAATGTGCAGTCTACTTAGAAAACTAAAGACTAACCTACTGTAGAACCTCATACTCCTTAAAAACGACCAGACAGTGTAGTTTGCAGGTTTGCGAAGATGAATTGAATTCAGAGTTGTATTCTTTGTGAACTCATTGCATTCCGACCTAGTGGCTGGATGATAACATGCTTGCATCAGCACCAACATAGGACTAGGCAGTACTGCATAACGGTCCAAGTTGCTGCAACTCATATCAGCGCACCAAGCAGGAAAGCATTAAGATAAAAGATGAGGAATGATCGGTCGATAACGGTAGAAAGTAGTAAGAGAGGAGCGGTAAGAAAATGCTGAGTTCAGTAGGATGATTAAGATAAGGATAATGTGTGGATACACCTACGCCATTCTGAGGCATGCCATATATTCTCCAACCACTGGTTTCACTTAACACGCGGGCCCCGATCAGGAAGTCTACATTTCTCCACATGATTCAAAAAAACAGTCAAAATCTTCGTGTACCGATACTGTTTTGGTCTGGTCACCTCTGGCCTTTTCTCAGCCTAAACCTACTTTAGCCAACATTGTGCGAGGTAGACGGTGACTAGGCAGGTGTAACATGCCCCAGACAGCTCATTCGATGAAGGTCTACAACTTTATCAACTGACTTTCTTGTCCTCTCTAAAACTACACCTAACCCTGGTGACTCCACGACACGGGATATGTTACTAAAATAACAATGGCCAAATACATAAGCCTTTTCATGTCCTTTAACGGCAATATTTTACAGCAGAATAGAGCGAATTGCAGCGCAGTACACTCGACTATCAATGGGTGATTCCATATCATGGCAGCAGCACAGATGGCGTAAGTCGGCGAAAGCCAGTCTGACACTCTGCATATGTGAAGGGATTTCGTCCCTCAATGACCTACCAGGGCTGATCTGTCTTCCCAGGTGAAGTAGTCAGGATGCTCAAACAGTTCATTTCCTATTGTTAGACAGGGGACTCAGAGTGTCTAGAAGACAACATCTTGTCAGTATCTGCAACCAACACGACTACGTCACTTGCGTACTCTAGAATTTACCAAGGATTCTCTTGTCATAAGATCAATTTCTATGAAGTTAGACGACGGGAGGAATGAGGAGAGTGGATGTTCTTGACGAACACCACAACTCTGGTAGTAACTCACAATAAGTTCCAACACATTTAAGTGCGTTCGAGTACACAGCCTTCAATAAAGTGATGTACTTACTCGGCATCCTTTTTAGTGGGAGACACCGCCATGAGACCACTCACTCGACGGAGTCAAATGGTGTCTTCAGGTAGAGAAATACAATCAGTGTTTGGCATCGGTAAGTATGCCTGTGTTCTAGAACTTGGCAGTGTGAACATTTGGTTGGAACACCCACTATGAGGTCTGAAACCTGCCTGGTTTTCTCAGGTCTCCGAGCTCCACTCGAGAGTCTGATAATCATAGAACCTAGAGTCTTAGACACGGTGTTTGTCAAACTCATTCCCCTATGGATAGCTAAATAGGTTTCCTCGTCTTTCTTGAAGGTTGTAACAATTAATGAATGAAACCAGTCAGAGGGGATCATACCTAACTCACATACACTGGGTAACAGTTCAGTTAATCAATAATTTTGTACCACCGTCTTTAAATCCCTGTTTCCTAGTCCATCTGGCGCTGCTTCCCTTCGTTTTAGATTACTTATATGTTTCTCGACTTCTGCAAGTGTTGAAGGTCCCATAACAATTTTCTATTCAGGATCTGACTGGATACGGACCAACAAAATAGTACCTGAAGGCCAGTTGAGCTGTCCTTCGAAGTATTCTGCTCATCGTTTCAGTCTTCTCTTCTGTGAGTGAATCATCCTTCTCTGTTGTGGTCTCACTAACTATTGATCTCTCCCGTCTCCTTGACAAGTAGAAATAGCTGTCTAGTGTTGTATATCACCGCTGCCTTTCACATCTCTTTAGCCCTCAATACACCACTGCTCTTGGCGAGTGCACAGACTCAATCAATCAATATCAACATAGGACCAGGCATCACTGCATAACGACCGAGTTGCCACACCTCATATCAGTACATCAAGTAAAAAGGCAGTGAGGCACAAGATGAAGATAAGAGAATGCAGTCAAAAGAAATATAAAGTACGAGAAGAGAGATGAAGAATGAGAAGTTGGTGAGATTTAGTATAGCGTCATTAAGATGAGGATGATGTATGTATACATCTGCGCCACTGACATCGGTTCTGAGGCATATCACCTAGTCTCCAACCACTGGTTCCTCTTGTCCCGCGGACCCCAACCGACTAGTCTGCATCACCCTACATAGCTCAAACCAACAGTCAGAGACTTCATACATCGGTGCGATGTTTTAGTCTGGCCGCCTTGGGCCTTTTTCCAGCCTGGACCTATTTCGGTCAACATTGTGTGACGAGGCAGTCGGTGACTAGGCATACGTAGTACGTGTCCCAACCATCTCAATCGATCAGGGTTCATAACCTCGTCAACTGATTTACCTCTACTCCTTAAAACTCTGCTCCTGACTTCTGCATTACTCACGTGGTGACATCACGGAATATGGCTTATATTACGAAAGCAACAGTGGTCAAACACTTGGAGCCTTCTCATGCCTTCCACTTTCAATGGCCATGTTTCACAGCCATAGACCGAGCTGCTGAGTGCACAGACTATCTCCTAGTAATTTGACTTTCTGAGATAGCGTAGTTTGGTAGACTAGTATTGATACTGGGTAATGATTGAATTCAATCACCAATGTACGAAGTCTCTGACTGTTGGTTTGAGCTATGTAGGGTGATGCAGACTAGTCGGTTGGGGTCCGCGGGACAAGAGGAACCAGTGGTTGGAGACTAGGTGATATGCCTCAGAACCGATGTCAGTGGCGCAGATGTATACATACATCATCCTCATCTTAATGACGCTATACTAAATCTCACCAACTTCTCATTCTTCGTCTCTCTTCTCGTACTTTATATTTCTTTTGACTGCATTCTCTTATCTTCATCTTGTGCCTCACTGCCTTTTTACTTGATGTACTGATATGAGGTGTGGCTACTCGGTCGTTATGCAGTGATGCCTGGTCCTATGTTGATATTGATGATGTTAACCTTCAACTGGCTTAGTAACAATATCAATAACCATAGTCCTCTTTTGGTTTTTACAGTTAAACTGGTTACAACATATACTCTAGTCCATTTCTATCTTGAATTATATAATTTGCATTCAACATTGTTCTGAAACCATTATTTCAGTTAACTATAACTATAAAACTCAATGAAAAATAGCTGAATATCCTGTTTTAGAACACTATTTTGCGAACAATTATACTATTACATCATAAAACTGCCTGGTCACACAGTTTTAAGTATTTTGACACGATTTGAATTTCGACTTCATTAGCTTGTATTTAGCTGAACAGAATGCAACAAAATACAATAGATCTATTGTACTCTACAAACTTGTTCGTTTGGTTTGATTTGAACCAGTCAAGAAAGACGAATTTATGAGATTTTCCAGAGTGGTATATGCATAATTATGTCACTTTAAAGTCACAATTGTTATCTTACATTTAGATTTATGTGCTCACTGAAATCTGTTTCCCGAAAATGTTTAGGGATGAAGTTATGGAACATTGGTTTCGGAAGATGACTTCCAGAAGATGGATCACAGGTTCAAACACCACTCCACCTACCGAGGTTTCAGCAACAAGGTAGTATCATCATCTCTCACACACTAGGTGTGGCTTCTTGCCTACTGCACACTTGTGCATAAGTTAGCTGAGTGGGTTTCAATTCGTAGTGCATAAAGCATTACACTTTATATCTTGCATACAAAGTACATCTGATATTAATTCACAAACGCAACTGCAAATTAAATACAAAAAAAGTAACCAAATAAGCTGTTAAACATCTTTCTAACACAGAAACTAAACAAACGTTCATGAATAGCACACTGTATGGAATATTTATATCGCTACGATATCCAACCTTCGGTAGGTAAATTCATAACTTATACTTCAGTTACAGGAATTTTAACAATTACCAAAGATGTGTGTTCGAAAGCTAGTGTACTGTTTCATAATTAACATTAAACTGCTGAAGAAAAGAAAAAGAATTAACAACCAATAGTTGTGTCATATGAAATTCTAACTTAGAAATATTTATATTTTCAATAAATATTACTGAAGTGTTAAATCTTACTTTAGCTTTTTGATTTTGAAATTCCATTTCCTGAAATACACCACTGTTACTTTCAGAGTACCATATCAAGCACAAGAAGTTGGTTAACGAAAGGATCAACACATCCATCCATGACTTTGTAAAATACATAAAAAACTCAGGATGTGTTTTAGGATCCATAGTATAGGGTAGTGCTATATACGAATGAATTAAATAAATTATAAGGCATTACCACACCAAATTTGCCATTCTTCTTTTTCAAAAGAGAACTGAGATGAAAGTAAGTCAAAAAATTCTATCATCTTCGCCTGACGTTTCTTCATTTTAGCTTGAACTAAATACGTCCGAAAAACATGTAGTTTCAGTTCATTGGCTGCATTTTGTTTATCGTCTGAAAGCCGATGAAACAGAGTACTTTCCAAAAGACTCCATTGGTTAACCAACAGATTTAAATTTGAATCACAGATTGCTTCTTGAAGGCGATCAATTATGTCAGAGGGTTGGAACTGAAAAATGTAATTATCAGTATCCAGAGAAAAATTACTTTCCCTCTACTTTTCTCTTTAGAACATTCAACTTCAAATGCATTTAAAGTATCTTTGAAGTTCTTTGATAGTAAAAAGTGTCGGATGAGACGACTGTAAACACCATCTTCCATTATGATGTCGTAAAAAAAGTTGGAATCGTAGACCGATATCCTAGAAATTAATTAATTATTGCGATTAAAAGAAGTGAATAACAGTTTTTGCAACAATAAGTCGGTAGATAGTTACGCGATATGATATTAACTACATCTTGATCTTGACCAAATCCTACCAATCAAGCTTTTAGATTTCCTCACCAACTGAGTTACATGGTCGAGATGAACAACCAATGAATCGTGGACTTGGATTGTCCACATCTTGGCACTACGTAGGATTTATTTGCAACGAACAAAAAGAATCAGGAAATGTGAGTCAATCCATCACCCGAAAAAATGCTACCTGTAGATCTGTATTGTTTTCCACTACCTAACTTGAGTAACAAACATGTAGTCAATTTTAAGCTTTTAGTACATATAAAGTTAGAAAAATCTTATGCAAGTAAACCAGTAATTCCAAACACCGAGAGTCAGGAATTAATGCTGTTACAACCAGAGACTAAAACGTTTCAAGATCCTGTGTCATTTCGTTCCTTAGGATTTTATATTCAAGCTTAATTCTACTAAAAATGTATTTGGATAGTATTATTACGCAACCTCGCCTAGGTAACTAGTTCACTAGTTTAATACCCGGACCTGAGCCCGGATAAAGAGGGAAGGTTGTACATAGGGCTGGCAATCCTACACTGGAAAACCAATCCAACCACTAAAGAAACTTCAAAGCACAAAGAAAATATAAAACATAAAAACAAACTTATTTCTCGCTGGAATCGGAGAGACAAATGATGCCAGTTGGTGAAAGCCTTCGGGAAGTCAATTAGCCAGCATGTCTTCCCTTCGTGAAAGCAAAAGTAAACATGGGGACATAGAATGTCCGCACAATGTTTGAACCTACCAGAGCTGCCTAGACTCCCAAAGAGATGAGAAGGCATGGCATAGAAGTGCTAGAAATCTGCGAGAGCACATGGAATGGAAGCGGACTCTCTCAACTGTCAACTGGGGAGTCAATAATCTACTCCTATATTGTCACCCAGACGACAACCACGAGCACACTGAGTTTTCGAGTGGCTATCATGATGTTCCCAACAGCATCGAAGGCTCTCATGAAGTGGGAACCAATCTCTTCCTGTACGATCATGACAGCGACATTCAAATCAAAAGGAAGGAAAGTTACAATTATACAATCCTACTCTACGCTATGCACCTACAAATAATGCAGATGAAGAGAAGGAGGAATTCTATAAACATCTACAACCAGTAATCGAAAAGATTCCACCTCAGATGGCTACATCAAACTTCTAATGTGTGGGGTGACATGAATCCCAAACTGGAAGCAGACAACACAGGAACAGAACTCATCATGGGTCGAGAGGCACTCGGTGAAGTGATGAACGAGAATGGAGAACTGTTTACAGACTTCTGTGCATTTAACGATTTGGTGATTGGAGGCACTGTGTACAAACACAAGCATATTCACAAAGCGACATGTCCCTTAATAGAGCTGGCGGAAGCCGCTGACAGAGCTGTGGACGCTACGAAGCCCAACACTGTCTACTGCCACGGATTCGTCCAAAAACCCACATCCTCCCTCGGCTGGTGAGCCAACAAGTTTCGATGTTATAGCTCACATCTCGAAATTGTATGAGGAGTTGTGCAGCATCAGGAACGAAATGCGGTCTGGTAGTTCTTCCAACAGGTCTGCCTCTCGTACCGGTAGCAGGCGTTCCAAATCGCGACAATCCCAACCCAGGTTGTGCTGGTACCATAAACGTTATGGTGCCAATGCCAAAAGGTGCACTCGACCTTGCACCTTCGAGGCTAACCAGGCGGGAAACGTGTGAGCCAGCACGTGACGGCGACTAACGTCGCTGGCGAGCCACTTCCATGTCGCCTCTTCTTCGTCACTGATCGACATTCTGGGATACGCTTCCTAGTTGACACTGGGGCAGAAGCTAGCGTCATCCCACCTACGAAGGAAGAGCGTCTGCGGCCAATGTCTCTGCAACTTCGTGCCGCCAACGGTTCGCCCATCACAACCTATGGTCGGAGATTCCTCGACCTCAACCTTGGATTGCGTCGTCCCTTTCGTTGGGTTTTCATAGTGGCGGATGTGACCACCGGTATTATTGGTATGGATCTCTTGCAGCACTATCAGCTGCTGGTAGATGCTGGCAAGCATAAGTTGATAGATTCTACCACAACACTCTCTGTTTCCGGTATAGTCACAAAGACGCCGCCCCTCAGTCCCGTGTACTGCACGACGGACGCTTCTAGTCCCTACGCGTCTATCATTCAGTCCTTTCCGGATGTCTTTAAGCCAAGTCGTTGTGTCCCTTGTGTGACTTCGAACGTTTCTCATCACATAACGACGACTGGCCCGCCAGTGTTTGCGAAACCACGGCGATTATCCCCGGAGAAACTGCGTGCTGTAAAAGCCGAGTTCGAACACATGCTTGAAATGGGAATAATCAGACCATCCAACAGTCCATGGTCTTCACCCTTGCATGTGGTACCCAAGAACAATGGCATGGACTGGAGGCCTTGTGGTGACTACCGAAGGCTCAACGCTAAAACGATTCCAGATCGTTACCCAGTCCCTCACATTCACGACTTGACTGCATCTTTAAAAGGCTCGGTTATCTTCAGTAAGCTTGACTTGACGCGTGCATATCATCAGATCCCGGTTCATCCTGATGATGTTCCCAAGACAGCCGTCATTACACCGTTTGGTCTTTTTGAGTTCCTCCGTATGCCTTTTGGTCTTCGCAATGCAGCACAAACCTTCCAACGTTTTATTCACGATGTTTTACGTGGACTCGACTTCGCCTATGCCTACCTAGACGATATACTAATCGCTAGTCCAGACGAAGACACTCATTTTAACCACTTGAAACAGGTTTTCGCCAGACTGTCAGAGCATTCGATGACAGTCAACCTGGCCAAATGCCAGATTGGCGTTCGTTCACTAAAATTTTTGGGACACGTTATCGACGAGCAAGGCATTCGCCCACTACCTGAAAAGGTACAGGCGATCCAAGACTTCCCAGTCCCAGCGTCACTTAAAGCTCTGCGTGTGTTTCTGGGTATGGTGAGCTATTATCGTCGCTTCGTTCCCCAATGTGCGCACATTTTGACTGCACTGACCGACCTGCTGAAAAGTAAGTGTAAAACTTTCAGCTTGACTCCTGAGGCACTAGAAGCATTTCGCAAGATCAAAACCGCAATAGCAGACGCCACGATGCTGGTGCATCAAGACGTAAACCTACCTCTTAGCATTGCGGTTGACGCCTCTAACACGGCCATTGGAGCTGTGTTGCAACAACTTTCGGATCACACTTGGATCCCAGTTGCATTCTTCTCCCGGAAGTTATCCACCTGCGAAATGCGGTACAGCACTTTTGGCAGGGAATTGCTCGCCATATATGCCTCAGTGAAACATTTTCGTCATTTTGTGGAAGGTCGTGATTTCATCATCTTTACCGACCATAAACCTCTGACGTATGCCTTACACACCACTACTGACAGATATTCACCGCGTGAATTACGTCACCTAGACTATATTTCGCAATTCACGTCGGACATCCGTCATATTTCTGGTGCGAATAACCCTGTCGCGGACGCACTGTCTCGCGTTTGCACCACTACTTTGCCTCGAGCAGTCGACTTACGGAAGATTGCCGAACTTCAGGATTCAGACGAGGAGATTGAAAAACTTCAACACTCATCCTCTCTGAAGATACAGCGTTTACCGCTCCTGAACAGTGAAGTGTCAATATTGTGCGACACCTCCACAGGCACACCCAGACCGGTTGTTCCTTTACCCTTGCGTAAGCATGTTTTTGATGCTTTGCACAATCTTTCACATCCTGGCATCCGTGCCACTGACAAACTCATATCTGCTAGGTTTGTTTGGCCTGGTATTAACCGTGATGTTCGAAACTGGACACGGTCATGTATTCAGTGCCAACGTTCCAAGGTGAATCGTCACAACATCCCACCACTTGGAACTTTCGCCAAACCGGACTCACGATTCGCTCATGTCCATTTAGACATTGTCGGCCCACTTCCACCCTCCGATGGATATAGTTACCTACTGACATGTGTCGATAGGTTTACTCGCTGGCCGTTAGCCATCCCATTGTCTAACATTACTGCCGAAACAGTAAGTCGGGTCTTCGTCGAAGGATGGGTTTCACAGTTTGGATGCCCTTCCACCGTGACAACCGACAGAGGCCAACAGTTCGAATCCGCTACCTTCCAGAAGCTGATGAATCTGTTGGGATGCAAACGCATCCGCACTACCGCATATCATCCAGCTTCCAATGGTTTGGTGGAGCGATTCCACCGACACCTTAAGAGCGCACTAATGGCAGTCGACAATATGAAATGGACTGAGTCTCTGCCGTTGGTTCTTCTCAGCATTCGTTCTACACTCAAGACGGATATACAGTGTACACCTGCTGAGTTAGTTTACGGTAGTAACTTACGTTTGCCGGGTGAGATGGTCGCTTCAGATTGTAGTGACCCAACTCCTACCGATATCCATGGCTATGCGCAAACTCTTAAGTTACACATGCGTCGCCTCCAACCCCCATCCACACGGATACAGTGTAGACGGGTGCAGTTGGATAAAAGACTCCAAGATTGCACTCACGTCTTTGTGCGTTGTGACGGTGTACGTAAACCCTTACAGCCACCATACGACGGACCTTTCAAGGTTCTCTGCAAGAAAGAAAAGTTTTTCGTCATTGACAGATCTGGACGGCAGGATTCTATAAGTGTCGATCGTTTGAAGGCAGCTTATATAGAGGACGACCCACCTTCCTCTACACCGACACAACTAGAAAAACCCTTGCCGCCAGACTCCCAAACAGACTCGTCTAGTCGCGCGTACCCTGAACCTTCTAAAAGAGCCACGTCTAGTAACACTGATCCAGTACCCTCTACACGTGCTGGGAGGCGTGTACATTGGCCCAAACGATACGCCGATTTCGTTAATTAGCCCCAGCGCAACTTCACACTTGGTAAATTCGGAGTTTCAACTATTTTGTCGTTGCACGCACTATCAATGCGTTTTCATATCTAAAGTTTTCACAAGTTCACAATTAAAATTTCAAAAACGTTTTTTTTCTTGTGGGTAGTTATTATTATTATTATTATTATTTCTGTACTCCCCCCACTTCGAATTGTTTGATTTTTCTTTTCTTAGCACTCTAATGTCCTATTTCTTTCTTCTTGCAGAACCTAGAAAATGCCTTGAAAATTGGATACAATTGGCCGCTGACGATGCTACTTGGATCGTTCTTCGGTTCTCTTTGTACCAATTTCCTTCTGTACACCCCCGGTAGATTAAGAAGCAAAAGGGAAAAGTAGGCGGAGGCTTTGGGTCACCTTCCACCACTGCGAGAAGGGTTGCCTCTAGACGTAAAGTTCTCTTAACTCGTAGGTGTGCATAGTTGCACTAGCTTCGGAGACCCACACATCACCTACTCCATCACCAGTATGGAAAGGTGTTGCGTGTCCGCCTCGCAGTCGCCTCCTAGGATCGAAGGTTGTCGGTATCCCAACAACCTTCTAGGAGGGGGATAACCTGTAGTGCACCTTCCTGGCACCAAAATATAACTAGGGCTAAAATAAATAGACCAAATTAAATTAACTAAATAAACCTCTAGCTTGCCTCCGGATGCTTAGGGTGTTTTAAGTTTTGTTTTAACGAGCATGCATCCGAGCAGGCTTGGACGCCGTTTTGCGCTCCACTGTACTGGTTACCATGCACGTACTCCGGTCCCTAGTTCAGCCTTACAAGCCAGATAAATTGATTAAACTTTTCCCCCATTCATTATTATTACATTCACTTTAATTAAATACATAGCTCCTTCAAATACATTGCGTATCAGTTCTTTTGATTTGTGTTTTGTTATCAGTACTTACACGTCAGGTAAAGTACTGGTTAAGTAGGTACTAGAGTACATCAAGTTAAGTAGGGTTGATCAAACGTTACGGAATTGTAACACATTCCCTTACAGGCTGACCACTTCGAAAAAACTCTTGAATCGACCACTACCTGCAACTCGTCCAGAAATACCACTAGCAACAGCAGAATTACCAATGAACACAAGCCCTCCGACGAAACTCGAAGTTCTGAACGCCATAAAGACGCTGAAATCCGGGAAACCAGAAGGACCAGATAGAATCCCGCCAGAAGCACTGAAAACAAACAGAGACAACAGCGGACAAGCTCACACCACTATTGCAGAAGGTTTGGAAGCAAGGAAAAGTACCTGGCGATTGATTGGAAGAAGGGCTACCTTGTCAAACTCCCAAAGAAGGGTGGCCTAAATCTTTGCAAGAACTGGCGCGGAATCACGCTCCTGTCTATCCGAAGTAAAATATTAAGCTGCATCATCCTGGAGAGACCAAAAAGATGCGCTGGATTCAAAACTACGACTGGAACAGTCTGCATTCAGGAAGTACAAACCATGTGTGGATCAAATTGCAACGCCACGCATCATCATGGCAGTCAGCCCTCTACCTCAACTTCATCGACTTTGAAAAGACCTTTGACAGCGTCGATCGACAAGTAATTTGGCAGCTGCTTCGACACTACGGAGTATCACAAACCTTTATCAACCTCATTCAACAGCTATATGAAGACGCCACATGCCAAGTGATTCACAATGGAAAGCTCAGTGACGCCTTTGAAATAAGGACAGGGGTAAGACAAGGCTGCTGCCTACTATCACCCATGATCTTCCTCATTGTGGTCGACTGGATCATGCAGTGAACCGTGAGGAGCGAGATGGGCATACGCTGTTTGACCGATGAAAACACCACAGAGGAAGATTTGGATTTCGCTAATAATGATTTATGTCGGATGCCACATAAACTCGAAGATCTACAGGCAAAAACCAACAAGCTGACAAAAGAGGCAGCGAAGACGGGACTTCAAGTGGACGTAGAGAAGACAGAGGCGATGAAGATACCCAACCAACAACAAGCACCAATCGCCATCAACGGGAGAAACCTAAAGGAAGTAGTCTCTTTCACCTACCTAGGTAGCATCGTTTCAACTAAAGGTGGCGCAGATGAAGACGTCAAAGCCAGGATCAGAAAAGCAAGCGAGACAGGCCTTCATTAGTTTGAAACCAGTGTGGAGGTCTACTGTATTCAGCAAAAAGAACAAGATCCGGATTTTCAACATTAATGTCTAGTAATTCAGTGCTTCTACATAATTCAGAAACTTGGAACGTTACGGAACGCACTTCCAATAAACTACATACATACATCAACAGGTGCCGCCAACGCTCGCTCACGCGATACCGAAGATTAGATCAAATGGCCAGAAAGAATAAGTAACATGGAACTATGGCAACTAACCAACCAAGAACCCATTACCCAACAAATATGCGGAAGATGAAAGTAGAGATGGATTGGGCATACACTGAGAAGACCGTTTGGGGAATCACGCGCCAGGCTAGGCCGTCGAGTGGAATCCAAAGGGGAAATGATATGGAGGTATGAAGAAGAAATGAAAGTTTCCGGGCAGTTGTGGAGCCAGGTTGAAAAGACTCCAGAAAACAGAGTGAAATGGAGACGTGCTACTAGAGCCCTGTGTTCCACCAGGAAACTAAGGGACAAATAATAATAATAATACCATGGCCAATCACTGTATTGACAATCCACTTTCACAATGGAAAGTATGCAGTGAAAAAAAAACATTCTCATGTACATAAAGATTACTACATTTTCGTTTCTACGCAACAATGAACATTTCGCGGGGTAATGATAGGATGCTACAGCTATTCTGCATGGATGCGAAACTAAGTTAACATGCGAATATGTATACCTGTCAATCGCATAACTAAAATTAAAGACTTCTTGATTTGTTTCTGGCTGTTGGTGATTGGGAAATCCAACTACTAGCTATTTACTCATAGTTGAACTTAATTAACGAGAAGTTAGCGTAACTGTCGTCCAACAATGAAAGTGTGGTATATTTATAGCCTAAGAACGCCTTTTAGTTCCTGACATAGCTGTGGATATCATAACAGCGTAGTAAACTTTGCAGTTCCATATTCATCGGGCTGAATGTATCATGCGAATAGGGTTTCGATAAGTCGAAGTGTAGCTTTAGACTAAAAGATATGTTCATTTTTCTTTTCAGTTTATCAAAAAAATACCTGTTAGGTGAGCTTTTACGTGAATCAACAGTGTTTTAGATGCTTTCAAAGAGAAAATGACTCCAGTCGTCATTCAAGAATGAAGGGTTAGAGGGATGTTAAGTAAAATCGAAGTAACACCAGAAATATTCAAGATGGACTTTGTATGAATCCCAGTTGCCCGTTTTAATTATATTTAAAATTTTCGCAAATTAGTGCATAGCCAATACAAATCTTTCTTAAAAGATTATAAACTGAGGCCAAACACTTTTCAAAAGGCATGTCAATATTTAATGACCACTGAGGAATTCACTGACAAGCAGTCTCGGGGGTGCTACGTTCTACGATTACCAGACACCTGTGAAGCTCCGAACACAAATCCGAGAAAACTATAGAGGTTTCAGACCTGACTTTGGGTCTACCAACCAAATCTTTACTCTATGTCAGATCTCAGGACAGAGGCGTGCTTATTAGGGCCCAACACCAATTGCATTTGTCGACCGGAAGATGGCAATCAGCTCGATTGACTGAGATCCTGAGGCAGTTTCTTACTCGGTAGGTACATCACACTTTCGGGTGATGATGGTTACGAAACACAGGGTCAACACTACTTTGGCAAGTTACCTTGATTTTGGTTTGAGAGGTCTGGTCTCCTAGATTGCTCAGCATTTTGAAAGGTAGTCCTCGTTTTGCGTCCTACACTACGTGGAAGTCCACTAAATTAAGTAATTTGGAAGCTTGTTGGTTATGAAGCCCAAGCTTGTCTAGAACATTCCCCTAATGAAGGTTATGTACCCGACAAGTCGTTGCTGTCTTAGACCTTATGATAAAATGTCAATTGAGAAGTTTACAACGAATGGCATCCATTAGGGATGTCAACCTTATCAAAGATTAAATTAGTTAAGTTGCTCTCTTTATTTGACGACGGATACTATAGTCAAATGAAAATTCATAAGAAATTTAAAACACAAATGACAGATTCCATCTCGGCTAAGATGCTCACAAGATTTAGTCTAGTTTAAATAGTTTCGTACATATTTCTCAAATCTCCAACTTCACCAATTGGAAGTTACTTTTTCGAGACCTTCCCCTACTTTTGGGATACTGAGGTTTGGGTATCCCATCTAAATGGGTATGCATGCCTTTTACGTTTAGTCGGTTGACCATCTAGAATTGAACTAAGGTTGGAAAATCCCCAATAGTTAAGGTTGGGGATTATTTAAACAAACCCGCGGCAAACACTGCAGCATTTTTAATTACTGCCTACCTATAAAAATACTAAATGCTTAACAAACGTTAGATAACATAAAATATATCAACGTTCATCATTTAAGATAAGCCCAGTAGGAGCTGAATGGTGAAATGTAATGTCAAACCTCAGAGGAAATCTTGGGGAAGTGCGACTACTAGTTCCCCACTTTACCCAGTCTGTGGGTTTCATCAGATTCAGGTTTGTTTGATGATAGAAGGCTATGAGCCTATATTAATCCTTTTCCACTACATATCTGTGCTTGTCCACTCGTCATTGAACGAGTCAACTGATGTGAACATCACCTCTTCTGGCAGTCGGTTCCAGGAGTTGATTACTCGACGCGAGAACCAGTACTCTGCGGAGACCTAATTTGTTCTTTGCCTTTGTATCCTCCTACTACGTCCTCTGAGGTGTCCCGACCTAGTGGGAAAGAAAAGATAATACGGATCAGGTCCAAAGTCACTTCTTAGAATCCTGTATAGCATGATTAGATCTCCCATCTGTCTGCAATAGGATGAAAAAAAGAGGCTCAGCTCCTTAAGTCGATGTTCATAGGTCAGGCCAGCTATTGCAGGGATCATACGAGTTGCTGCCCTCTGAACTCTTTGCAGAAGGTCTGAGCCACCCTTCAGACAAGCATTCACCGCCTGTGTACAGTTTTCTAGTTTAGACCCAACTAAAAATGTGCGTAAGATCGTGAACATATCACCACTGATTTTTGTAAGCGTCCTCCGTCATGACAAAGTGTCCTGAAACTCGGAGCTGCAACCAATCGACAGTGTTCCATGGTTTTCAAATCACAACTCACTGTGACTCAGGTCATTTTGGATTAGTACTGAGAGTAGAGGAGTACCACCAATATCGTAGGTGTTACCATCTGTGTACCCCCATCTGCATGCTCACACATTTACCTGCGTTGACAGGCATCAGCCAATTCTCTGACCAGGTAAACAAGCTGTTAAAGTTTGTCTGAAGTGCAAGTATATCTTCATCATCCCGAATTTCCTGCCAGATTTTTTCATCAACAGCACAGAAAACCATAGGGGATTTCGTGACATTTGGCAGCTCATTTATGTATAGGAGAAATAGTGGGGCACCCAGGAGTGCCCTGCGGCACTCCACTCCCTACCGACTTCCAAGAGGAGAGGAGAGAATTTATCCTTACTGTCTCCTACCAACGAGGAACTCTGATCCATGAAAGTAGATTGGCAATGATTTCGAAACTTTCCAGTTTCCCGAGCAGCCTTGTCGCATGCCTCATTAGTTAGTGAAAATGACATCTACAGTTATCCCATCATCCTTAGATCTAACTCAACTTTCTCTGGCTGAGAAAGTTCGTCAAGCAAGGGAAATTTCTGCAAGAGCCATGCTGCAAACAAGACAATACAGTATTGCTCTCTAGGTGAACTGTAATGGCTTTCTTGATTATGCTTTCTAGGATTTTAATACAGTAAAAGTCACACTCATCAGTCTGTAATTTGATGAGTCTTGCCTAGAATCTGTTTCGTAGATAGGTGTGACTATGGCATCTCCCAACTGTAGGAGAGTGTGCCTTAACGGATGGATAGTAAATTTAGTAGTCGACAGGCCGGCTACAAGGAGTACAAGCTCTATGAGCAAACTTCGGTGCAGCTCATCCAGTCCCGTTGATTTTTCTCCTTCGAGACGATTTAATGTCCAAAATACATCACCGCGATCGATACATGTCTTAACGCTCCTACTTTTGAACTGCTGTCCACAGAAGATTGCCGTGTTAAGACTTCAACAAAATATCCCACCACAACTTCTGCTTTTTCCCTATCGTCTTCAATCAAACTCTCCGTTTCTGTCCCCTTGGTTAGGGCGGGTATAACACGATACGTCTTATTCCTATAATTCATACAAGAAAATGACCTCCTCGGGTGTCGCAGTGCAGCCTGAGCAAGATGTGTTTCAAGGCATATTCGAGACCGGCGGATAGCATTGATACATTTACTACAGGCTTCTATGCAATGCTTCATCAACTCAGGAGTACCGGGGTAGGTGGACAGACTCTAATACTTTTTTTTGCATCGTAGCAAGATTTAGATTTCGCGGCTTATCCACAGAGGACAATGTTCCCGTCCCTTTGGAACATTTCATGCAATAAACGGTTGAGTCACTTATGGACATAACTATTTGAAGGAGCGCCATGCAGCCCTAACTGAGGCTTCCGGATCGACTGTCCAGTCCAACGAAGAGACTGCCAAGTTAGTAGCTGACTCATTCACTGCTCAAACACTGGGTCTAGCTAGGATATCGGCCTGGTATTAGACGGCTGCTGTGGATCTGAAGATGATCACAGCAAGGGGTTCAATGCGCTGGGTGATCCACACATCATCCGTATGCAAGAATACTAAGTCTAGAACAGATAGAGCATGCTGATGACCTTATCTGATTGCTGTCGCAATGTGCTGCATGAAGGCTAAAAAAATTAGTGTTTCCATTAACCTATACTCAAGCGAGTTACGCAATGCTTCAACTGTTAGTCTATCTCAACCAACTAACAATGCGTCGAAGTCCCCCACAACTAGTCATCGGCAGTTATCCGTTAACAGGGTCATCTTATTCAGGAGGAAGACCTCTCCATCACATTGAGGGCCTCGATATACTACGATTAGGTTGATATCTTGTCCCTTGCACTTTAGTCGGCAGCGCTTTATTTCACATGTCCCACTTTCATAGACAATAGTTTCTATGGCTTTCACAGTTAGGGTATTCTTAAGGTAAAAAATAACACTACTACCTCTGCGTGCTAACTTATAGCTTATAACGGAAACGACAACCCGTAATTGTGTTTCTCTTTCACTTATCTCAGAAGACAGCCAAGTTTCTGAGATAGCAACGATGTCAGGACTTCCTATGCTTGTTATACTACTATGATTACACCACTTGCTTAGAGGACTGCGTGCATTTGTGTGAAAGATGATAGAACGGTTTAAATGAGTTTTCGTCCTATCCATAAAGGCTTCGACATCATTTGTGGACGAAACTTCAACACACGAAAGCCTGCCACGCCCAGGTCTTCCTCTTCTACCGGCAACTTGGATTTTAGTTCTTCTTTTGCATTTTTTGATTCGGTCGGAAAGATGCAAATCTTTCCGCATGAACACTAGTTCCTTGAGGTATATGAGCGTTCTTCAGAAAAGGGATCCCTCCCCAGTTGATTTGAAAATGACTTTAAGTAACCGAAATCTGTTGCCGGTAGGGAGTCTCTTTCTTACGCTCTCTATATATCGTGAGTAGAGTGACTCATGTTAAGTTTTCCTTTAAAAGGATGTCTATCAAACTTTGTGCCCTGCCAAGGTCATGTTCGAAACGGTTGTGGTTCTGGGTCCATACTTTCTTTGACTTTGGCAGATTAAGGACCTTTCAAGGAGCCATATTTTATCTTTGCTTTGTGGAGTGATGCAAGTTGGTTTTAAGACCGTTGCTGACTTCCTGGGGTGTCGTTTTTACCTAATTACTTACCAGAACAGCTTTTTATCTCCTTGTACGCACTCTTCGTCGCTAATTGGGTCCCAGAACTGGGTAGGACCTGTGCAACTCTGTAGACGGCAGACAGTGCTCCACCTCCATCTTTTTCATTGCATGTCGACCTAGCCTTATAGTCGATAATTCTTAGATTGCGTCTGCCAGCTCTGGGAATGCGAGAACCTGAAGATGCTCGCTTAATCCTGCTTGTGTAACGTCGACGTCAACAAACCAACTCAGTTTGTCATGGGACATCACTAAAGTTCAGCACAGATGTGTCGACGGATGCTTTTTAACTATCGCTATCACAGCCCTCGACTTTCCCTTTGAATGCTAGCTTCTTTGTGATTGTATTCAGAAGTGTTTTGGCTTCTTCAAACAGCCCGAGAATATCTGAGCATGACATACAGAGCCAGATACTCACTGCACCACTATACCTCTTATATGCTGAGGGCATAAGGTTTATGCAATTATCGTAGAACTCAGAATATAAGAGCTAGTTCTTACATTCAGAGCACTGCATACCAGAGGACACTAGGAAGAGGCACCACGCCCTACCACAAGCATTGCTAAGACACCTTTGGTTGACTACATTGCAGAGACTGAAGACAAACTTGATAAGACAGGTGTCACGTGAGTTAGAAGACGAAAAACTGTATGGAATCTCTCTAAAGTGCATCAGGAAAAACTACTTTTACTGAAAAAAAAAACATTTTATCCAAACCAGGCGATTAACTATGAGAAATTAAATCAGTAACGTTCCTGCCTCATTTCAATCGGAGATAATTTTGATTACAGCAAAGACACAATAGGCTTTGGTGTGTAAACACAAAAATTCAGAGAATCTAACGCAATTAATTTTCACGCTAACTAAATTTAGTTAACGTGAAAATTCACATCTTCAAAAAGGACCTTTTTTAACATGAGTATTTCTACTAAATTTTCCAGAGTATGCAGATTTACGTGTACTTTCAGCAAATCATCTGATACGAAACGCTAATGTACTGAAGTATGAGTTTAAACATATTTAAATATAAATATTGCGGTCGCGATCAAATTTCCCCAGCCGGCAAATACTTTGGGCGCACTTTGAAATTTCCGGGTAAAAAATGGCACTAGAACTTTGAGATAACTGCTGATAATGCATCGTCGCGCCCGAAAATGTCGGAAATTTAGTCCAAAAAGTTTGGATTTGTCAAACTCCGCCCGAAATTCCCGAAAGCTCCAAATATGTCAAAATATCTGCAGTGCACCCGAAGTCTTAAAAATTAGACATTATAAGAGACAAAAAGTAGTTTATGGGAATACATTTGGTCTGTGTGTATTCCTTGGAGCAGTATACGCGGTGTGCAACTGTTTATTTAATTATAGAGCACTGTAATCTTCCAAAAATTTGAACTTTTGGGATAAGTGCCTGAAAATCCCAAGCTGCGCTTTAAAGTTGAGTTCGAGGTTTACCCAAAGATGTCAAAGTGCACCCAAAGTCTTTGGCGGCTGGATGACTGCAAACATACATTCACATTTACACATAGACACGTGTAAGTGCAATATACCAGTTCATAACTTAGTAAGAAACTTAAGTTCCCGTCTAAATGCACACTATGAATTAACTCAAACCAGCAGATAATTATGAAGATGCAACAAAGAGTATGGCTAAAAGAGACACAAACGAATGTAACTTGCCTCCGTTCCCATCCGGCCTTGAGCGACAGAAGTAGAGACGATATCCAATATCCAATAACTTCAACGATCTTGTGTAAACAGTTGGTTTCTTCGTGCCAGCTTCTTGATCTTGCGTGACAGTTCCAGGTCTTTGGCGGATTTCAATGCAGTTGATCCAGCCACTTGTCTGTTATAGCTGTGGTGTACTGAACAGAAGATTGAGTGTTGGTTAGTTAGCCTGCAACTGTAGTCCATTTTAGTTCCTTAGATGTCGAGTAACCAGATAGTTGTTCAACCTAGTCATTGGAGACAGTTCGGGGTGGTGAAGAGATAACCCAGGAAGACAAATGTGTGTGAGTAAAAGACAGAGAAAAGTGGACCGATGGAGTGATCTACTCACACCCAAGACGAGAGGGGTGCAAAGATATGAGGAACTTAGGTAGGTGAGACTAATTCATAGTGAGTGAAAGGGCTGAAAGGAGCTTAAATGATTACGGCAGAAAGAAAACTGGGGTGGAGGAGATACAGTTGGAATGATGTGACAGCAATTGATTTCTTCGGTCCATTTCGTATTCCAGTTGGATGCGGGTAAACGGTAGGCCTCTGCATAACTATCTAGCCCCTTTCTTGGAACTTTAAACAGATGG